TGTAAATTCCATAGTGATGGGGACTTTTCTGTAGTGTTCCCCACAGATTTGCAAACACTCAGGGCAGTGTGGAGCGCATAGCAGGTACTTACTAAATATTTGTGGAATAAATGCTTAGAAATGAACAAAAATGGATACAAATGCAGGTATAGGTTTGATTTGATGGTGACAAGAGGAATTCCTCCATAATTCGTTTTTATTTCTTTGAAGTGTGACAGTGGGCATGAGCTTAGAGGGAGGAGACATTGTTCAGAAGAGGTGGGGGGGGGGTTGTTGAGGCAAGTCTTGAAGATGGTCATCCATTAGAGGGGTAGCAAACCCACTGGGGAGACAAGGGAGTTTGTAGTCAGTGTTGAATACCCATCGCAGGTTTGTGGTCAAGTGTTTCAAAGTACAACAGGTTGGCTCGGTTGTATGATTGATTCCTGGCTTTCTGGTACATGCAGTTGGCATTGGCGGAGGCCATTTGTAAAGAAACAAAATGAAGGAGAAGCAAGCCTTTCCGAAAAGATGATGTATCATCGTTTGGATGATCTTTGCAACCTGCGGAGTTTTGAGGCACCGGTGGGATATGAAAGTGAAACAGTATAAGGAAGTGATCAGTTACATGGGTCTGGTGGGGAGGAAAGAAGCCGATGGTGGTTAAGCAATTAGAGAGGTATTAGCTCGTGAACGGGAGTTGAAACCAAGGGCACAGTTGATCTCACTACAGGAGAGGGGAGCTTGGAAGAGAAAGGTTAACCGAACCCTGAGGAACACTGATGGGAAAGAGTCCTATACATTTGTCATGCATGCCAGTGTCTACACAGATTCTTCGAACGCCTCAGGGCCACTGCCTGGTCTTGAACTTCATCCATTATTTCCCTCAGGCATAGGACTGGGGCACAGAAGGTGATTCTAAAAATCACTCTGATTTGATTTCTCTGCACTCTCCTTTACTAGAATCCTACCCTAGTTTATTAATTGAAATGCTGCTTGTATGTAATTTCCTTTTTTTAACTACATATTTCTTTTTTTTTTTTTAATTTTTTTAATGTTTACTTATTTTTGAGAGACAGAGAGACAGAACACGAGCAGGGGAGGGGCAGAGAGAGAGGGAGACACAGAATCCGAAGCAGGCTCTACGCTCCAGCTGTCAACACAGAGCCCGACGTAGGGCTTGAACCCATGAACCGTGAGATCATGACGTGAGCCAAAGTCAGACACTTAACCGACTGAGCCACCCAGACGCCCCATTAATTTTCTCAAAAAGATAAAATAATAACCTTTATGCAAATATAAGATGAACCCTTGTAAGGATTTTACTTAATTCATTAATTAACAAGGGAACCACTAAGATGTTACCACCACAATTACGTACGATTTACAGAGTTGCAAAATAGCTCAAACACAAGAAAGGCACAGAATATCCCACAGAATCAGATAGCCCAGAAGGATACGTGAGACAACACCTAACTTCCCTCTGAAAACACTACAATCTTTCAGGTTCATTTCATAGTCTTTCATGATTTTCCCCATAATGCTTTTAAAAAGTTATCGCTATCATTTCTATTCTTTGAATAAGACAGATAAAATGTTAGTCTGTTATAAAATACACATGGGAGAATATTCCGGTACTGTCATACCCCATTTGGGTACTCACTGATTGGGGGGAAGAGGCAGAATTTGTGGGATCCCTTAGGATTAATCTGTTTTCTAGTTGGAATGGGAAATATTTAAGAACCAAACCAAATGACCTCAAATCCACTCTGGAACGAAAGAGGGTATAATTCAAATACAGAAGATGTTGAAATGGTCTTCTTGGCTCATTGTGAGATTTTCAAGTTGAATGGAGCCCTCCGCCACGATGTCTGTCCTCCACACCCTGCCTCACGCTTGCTTTCCTGGGAATTTGGGGCTGCCAGACTATACATTCAGTTCCAGTTCAAAATGGAAACCCTCCTCCGGGCGCCTGGGTGGCTCAGTCAGTTAAGCATCCGACTTCAGCTCAGGTCACAATCTCACGGTTGGTGAGTTCGAGTCCGGCGTCGGGCTCTGGGCTGATGGCTCGGAGCCCGGAGCCTGCTTCGGATTCTGTGTCTCCCTCTCTCTGCTCCAACCCATTCTCTCTCTCTCTCTCTCTCTCTCTCTCTCTCTCTCTGTCAAAAATTAAAAAAATGGAAACCCTCCTCTCCTGCAGTAGTGAACAAAGACAACTCCGGTTGCCATTGGAGGATTTGGCTGCTTCAGTCCAACAGTTCAGGAGAGGATCAGAAGGGGCAGATGGATGATATTGGAGAAAACGCTCGTGTGAGTTCCCGGAGCACAATATTTCTCTTTGCGATTTTTGAGTGTTCCGCAGCAAAGCTGCCAAAAATATGAAAAGTATAAATAGAGAAGAGTGGGAAGGAGAAATGGGGACCTGTCACATTGGCAGAGAAAATAGGGAACGGAGAATTTTCCAGAGATGCAAAGCCACAGGGGGTTAACATTTACTTAGAAATGAACTCGCAGGCACAAGCTTTAGAACGAGATTAAGGCAAGAAAGACAAATTAGGGAATAGATAAAAAAAAAATGTCAATTTCAAGTCTGAGGAAAGTACAGATCGGAGAAGAGAGGAGAAACTAGGATAGACTGACTGCCGATCATGTCTTTACTGATTAGGCTACGTACCTACTTTTTTTTTTAATGTTTATTTATTTTTGAGAGAGAGAGACAGATTGTAAGTGGGGGAAGGGGCAGAGAGAGAGGGAGACACAGAATCGGAAGCAGGCCCCAGGCTCTGAGCTGTCAGCACAGAGCCCAATACAGGGCTCGAACTCACGAGCTGTGAGATCATGACCTGAGCCGAAGTGAGACGCTCTCCATCAGCATCTGGGGTCTTTCCTGCAGCTCCTGGCTTTGATAGGATGCATCATTACCACAGCCTATGATTCCAAGCCCACTCTGTGGGGTCTTGGCTGTTCCCCATTGACTCTTGGAAGGAGAGCAGGTAGAGGGGTCTTTATTCTTCTTTGCCACCTAACCCCTTCAGCATCCCCGACATTAGTACCCCAGGCGGCACACGTTCAGGTTCATTTCTTTACCAAAGGCCTGGCAATACTTGCAGAAAGGAATTATAATGGAGATAAGGAGCGGTTCAACTCCTGGCTCAGCTAGAGTTCCTCAGCTTTCTTTGAACTATAAACCAAGGTATTTGGGAGCCAGGAATGATGTGGTGCCTGGGATTTGCTTTAAAATATATTCCAGGAGCGCCTGGGTGGCTCAGTCGGTTAAGCGTCTGACTCTTGATCTCAGCTCACCTCACGATCTCGCGGTTTGTGAGTTCAAGCCCCACATGGGGCTCTGCACTGACAGCGCCGAATCTACTTGAGATTCTGTCTCCCTCTCTCTCTGCCCCTCCCCTGCTTGCTCTCTCTCTCAAAATAAGTAAATAAACTTAAAATATGTATTTTAGACACTCCCCCCTCCCCTTGTTCTTGGACAGGCTCCGGAAGGCTTGTGCTCTCCACCCTTTTTTTTGCATGTTTGCAAAATTTCATAGTAAGAGTAAACGAACGAAAACCAAATGATGAGGTTTTCATTCCCTATAGCCACAGAAACATAATAGGGCCACAGAGTGCGCTCCTCATAATTGCTCCTCTGGCACTTTATTCTGATTTTCTGGACTGACTCCAGCTCTCAACCTCTGTCACATTCTCTGAGTATTGGCTGGAAATACTTTCTTCACAAAGCCTTGCCAGGCCCGATGGGAGGGAATAGGTTGTTGCAGATTCTATACCCACATGTTTAAAACGTGGCCGGTTTCCTGTCTGGAGTGACTTGAACACAAGACTGTCTTTGTAAGGCATTGTCTTCCACTGTTCCACCCCCTTTTTAGGACTGTTAAGGGTTAATGGCATCTCCAACAGCAGCCGAGGCCTGGTTTCTTAAAGCAAGGCTGCAGGAAGCAAAGACTTGCAGGGTGAAGAGTGTGAAGCCTGATTTCTGGTTTGAGTTGTCACAGATTCAAGGAGAAAAAAAAGAAAAATGAATCATCATTTGACCATGGCATTCACACGAAAGGGCGGGGGGAGCAGTGGGAGAAAGAACAAAGGAAGAAGAAAGAAAACCTCAAATAAATGTTGGGGATGGGTGGCGGCGAGGAGGAGAGAGAAAATCTCAGAAACTGCGGGGAGGTGCGGCGATTGCACCAATACCGGCCACAAACACACACATTTGCCACTTCCTGGCTTAGATTAGAAAAAAATACGCATGCACTACTTGTCGGCTGTGTTTTGTCAGCAGGTAGCGACAAAATCTCGAGGTTTTAAGAACCCTGAGGACCCAAAGTTGTTCTCCGAAGCTGCCCACCCTGGACCTGAGCCCGAAGTGGAGCAGGTTGCTGCCCAGAGGACCTAAGGCTGTGTGTCCAGCTGCCCACCTTCCTCCCGGCAGTTCCCAGGATCGGAGCCCACGGGAGGAGAAGCTACGCTCGCCTGCGGGTGCCGGGGCTAAGGGCGGTGGCCCAGTCTCCCACCGAGGCCTCAGCGCCCAGGCGGCAGCGGCGGCGACGCACGGGGACCGGAGGAGTGACATGGCGATGTGCCCAACTCTGGGAGACCGGCCTCAGAACCAAGGGGCCAGCATCCGGCCACGGCTATGCTCTCCGCGGAACAATCTCAGGGAGAAGACACGGGCTGCGAGCCGATTTTCCAGTGAAAAGGGTGGGGTGGGGAGGGAGCGCCCCTGACCCTTCCCGCCGGTCCCCTCCCGGGCTCACCCCTACTGGCCCGGAGCTGGGCTACCCGGAGGAAGCGTGCGCGGGGCCGCAGTGCCGCCCTCCGACGCAAGGGGGCAGCACCACCCGCCGAAGCAGCGGCGGCTGTCCGCGCGCCGCTCTTGGCGGCCGCAGGCGGAGGCGGACCCGCGGCGTCCTCGCTCATTGGCCACGGCGCGGGCGCTGCCATGTTGGCGGAAGCGGTGCCTCTGTGCCGTGGAAACGGGCCGTGGCTGCGGTCGCAGCGTCCGAGCGCGCAGCCTCCTGCTTCTCCTCGCTCGAGTCTCGGCGCCGAGAGGCGGCGGCCGGCGGGATGGAGAAAAGTAGGATGAACCTGCCCAAGGGACCGGACACGCTCTGCTTCGACAAGGACGAGTTTATGAAGGTGCGCGCCGGGGGCTCCGCTCCCTGGAGCCGGGCCGTGGGTGGTCTGCCCTCCTTTGCCCTCCGGGGCCTCTCCTCGGGCCTCTCCTGGGCGCTTCCCGGGCCGCGCCCGCCGCGGACGGGCCCTCGGCGGGGACCTCGCTGCGCTTCGCAGTGAGTCTCTTGGCCTCGGGTTTGGTAGGTGCAGCCTGGAGACAGCACTTCTGTGAAATCGCGCATACGGAGTGAAAAGGCCTGAAAGTTTTGAGCTAAACGTAAACGCCCCTGTTAGGACCCGACTCCGTTACCGCGCGGGGTGCGGTCAGATTGCCGGCCCCCTTGCCTGACAGCAGCTTGTTGCCAGTGCCGTGCCCCTAGAAGCTCGGTGAGCGTGTCTTGAAAACGTCTCTAAACGTACGTGCTCACCCAGGGATCGGGTCGGGTAAAAAAGGCCCTTAATCTAAAGTTTTTGCCTGACATTCGTCTACAGCTCCTGGAATGAGAGATGTAAAGACTGTACTGTCCTTACTTCTGTTTCAGGGCTACAGAGAGGACCATTGTCCTTTTCTAAAGTTGCCCCATTTCTCTTCCTAAGGTGAACTTGAAACTTGTCTGCGGATAATTGTAGGACATAAACGTACTGATTAGAGATCTAAACTGAGAACGTTTTACTGACGATAAAGGTTCATCAAAGCACAGCCTTGAAAATGTCCAAGATTTGAATCAGAGCCAGGAGGAACTGTGCATACCCAGTTTGTGTAATCTCTCTGGGTCTGTACTTAAACTATCAAAAAAAAAAAAAAATGTGTACTTTTTAAGGATTGGGATTTTTGACACCACTTGGTAGCTGGCTTCGGTGTTAAAAAGTTAAAAGTTTTGGTTCTGTAGGCACCTAAAATTTTGAAAGAGTGAGTTTAAGTGTCTTATTTTTTGGTGGCTTCAAGTCCCAATATTTTTTTTTTTTGTTTTCCTTTTCAAGGCTAACCAGCTTTTGATATTTGCATTCAGATCATATCTCCCAAACTCTGGCCTTAAAAAGCATTTCTATCTGGATCCTCTGTATTGTGGCCATTGTTGTTTTTAATATGTAGGGCTGTCTAGACTGAGGAAGAAGCTACTCTTGTTCTTGTACAGTGGTGTTTCTAAACCACTGTAATAAAAGGTGTAACTCGAATGGAATGTCTAAACTTTAATGTTTATTTTTGAGAGAGAGAGAAGGAGATAGAGCATGAACAGAGGAGGGACAGAGAGCGAGGGAGACACAGAATCTGAAGCAGGCTCCAGACCCTGAACTGTCAGCACAGAGTCTGATGCGGGGCTTGAACCCATGAACCGTGAGATCATGACCTGAGCCAAAGTCAGATGCTTAACTGACTGAGCCAGCCAGGTGCCCCTCGAATGGAACGTCTAAAAGAGAGTACAAAGTGAATTCACTGATCTGGAAGCCCTTTGCTAACTAAGGATACATGATGACGAGACATCACAGGAGCATTTTCTCAGACTTCCCTAGCCCCGCCATGTTTCTCACTGTGAGCTGACAAAATGCTTTTGGTCAAAGCAGGTTCAGAAAATAGAACTCTCAGAATAGAAGTCCTAAAGTAGCGCTTCGAGGTAGGGAGAGAGCACACTGGCCAAGTGGCTGGAATCCCAGCGGCTCCGTGTTCTCTCACGGCTCTAAAACTTCCAAACATGCCACACAATCTGTAGGGCTAATTAACCTGACCACTTCGTTGGTAGAAGGAAAATACACGGAACAGCTGCTCTGTGTATTTTGCTATTGATTTTCTGGGTGCGACCTGGAGATAAAGGTTACCTGCAGCGTGGGTTTCCTTCAGAGGGACGTTTTAGAAGTTACAGTTCCGTGGCAGAGAGGATGGGTGGAGAGCTTGCCGTCGGGGTTCTGTTTCTACACGTTTTGTAACTGGAGAGGTTTTGTGCCCGAGGGAGAGGGAGAGAAAATCGTATTTTCACTGGGAGAGCGGAGGTAACTTGCAATCCGGTCAGTTGACTAGAAATGGGCCCTCAGTCGGTCACACGCGAGGTGGACCTCCTTGGGCAGTGGTAGCAGTTGCTCACCGGTCAGCAGACACTGACTGATCACCTGCTGGGTGCCAGCCAGCAATTTGGACGTGGTGGTACAAAGCCAGGGAACACACATTGGCATTGGCTCTTGAGCGTGGTGGTAGGACGAACGTGTGTGCCCAGAATCCACCCTTAGTCCAGAGAGGCCAGGGCCTGGAAGAGTGGCCAGGAATGAGACCAGCAAGGAGGCCAGGTGCATGGGGTGGGCCTGCAAGTTGTACCTTGAAGGCTGCAGCCAGGGGTCTAAGTGGAGACAGTACTCATCGTCAGGTTTAAAGCGGGAAGTTACATGGTCCCGCCTGTTGCATTGGAGCTGAGTGGCGGCAGGAGACTACTTACAAAGTTATTTCAGTGGTTTTTATGAGACCTGACGAGAAACACAGAGGAGGGGAAAGGTTTGTGAAAGACGTAGGTGATCAACACACAGGAGCGGCAGGTCCGGAAGGGCCACTTGGGGCCGACGGGGTGGCAACATCATTCTTTGTGACCTTAAAAATACCAAGATCCTTAGGCCCGACAGCCAACTCATAGACGAATAGGACGTAAGGTGTTGGCAGTAGGGAGAGAAAATGGCAATGCCGACCAAGGTAAGTTAGACCCGTTTGCATGGGTGTGCTGTTGACGTCACGGCCCTCCCCTTCCATCCCGATGTATGACTTCATCTCCAGTTTGACAGAAAAAATAGCGGCCATCAAATGGGAACTCCTCCGTCTTGCTGATAACAAGCCCATCCTTGTGTTTGTTCCCTTCCCCTCCTTCCCTGGTCTGTGGAGGGGCTCTCCTCCCTCCTCCAGGTAGCTTTTCACCCACCCCTGGAGCCCGTGCCCTCTTGCTTCCTCAGCACCCTGTTCGCATCCTCTCCTGCACTCCTTCCTGTTGGTTTGCACCCATGCTCCTCTTTTAGCCTCTTCCACTTGGCCCTCCCGCCTCGAGGGGTCGCCCTGACACTGGAGCACATCACAGCCGGTGCTCAGGGGTCATCTTTGCTTTCTCACTTGTCACTCTTAAGGCACCCTCATCCCACTAAAGAGTTCTTAACAAGTTAACCGGATGTAAGTCAGTCCCGCTGGCCTTTTTTTCTGTCTCCTTACTTGCCCTCCCGGCAGACCAAATGCTCTGCATTGCTTTCTGGCTCTCTTCCTCTCTCTCTGGTCCGTCTCCTGTCTCCTGTAGCTGATGAATGGCTGGTTATGGGCTCAGTCACGTGTCCTCTCCTTGCCCCAGGTGGCCCTTCATGCAGCTTTAGTGACCAGCTATAGGCAGGGGAGGCAGATGCCTCTTTCTGGCCCAGATGTCCCCTGAGCTCCAAACCTATGTACTGCATTTGTTGTCTCTTCTTGGATGTCTCTGTGGTCCCTCAAACTTACCATGTTCGAAACTGAATTGGTGAGCACCTCCTCCCCTGAAAGCCAGCTTTCTTGTCCTATTGCCCGTCTCAGAACATGCTCCACCATGCATCGAGTTGTAAGTCAGCAAACCGGAAGTCCCCTCCTCCCTCTGTCGCCTTTCCAAAATCCAGTCTGTTACCAAGTCCCGTGGATCTCGCTTCCTGAACACCTCTTGAATCCGTCTACTCTCCATCTCTTCGCGTACCTTCACGGTGCTGTCTGGCCATCACACCATCAAGGCCTCTTACCCGGTCTCCTTGCACCCGTCTTCGCCTGTTTCTAGTCCCTCGTCTACACTACAGGCAGAGAGCGCTCTTTTCGAAACACGTATCTGGTCTCGTGTAACAGGTGGCTGGTTAGTCCACAGGCTCACGAGGAAACATTTCCAAAACATTTGAACCTATTTCAAAGAGGCTCATTCCCCTGCGGGATAGTTTTGATTGGCAGGCAGTGTAGTGCGTTTCTATGCTGAGCCAGTCTGCTTCTTCTGAACTGTATCAGTTCCTTTCCTGCACCCCCAGCGCATGGTGGCTTTGTAGGCACCCTGGGTAGGCACACAATACCTTTTTAATGAGAAGCGCCATCAGGAACCCTCTTTATGGTGACTGTAAGCATCTACAAGAGAATACAGATCTGGGGGGTGAGTCATTGAGGCTCCTCCCTTATTGTAATTGGGTGAATTGGGGATATTGAAGCAGGAAGTGTGTCAAGGGCGTTCCTGTTCTCAAGGAGCGTGTATTCTAATGGGGAAATAGAAAAGGGAAAAATGAGCAGCTGCTGAGATCTTGTATTTTGCTGGTTGAGTGGCTGTGACCTGGAGACGTGGGTCCCACTTTCAGCCCTGCTGTCCATTGGCCGGTGACTTGGGACCGATCACTTGCCTCTGGGCTTCGGTTTCTGCAGTATCTGCATAATCTCTGCAGCCTCTTCCAGCCCTTGACATTTCATGCTTCTGTGAAAGAAGGACGGTAGTCACTTTTTCTGGTTCGAAGACAAGGAAACTGAGGCCTTGGGGTGTCATGACTTCCTCTAAAGTCACACAGTTATTTGGGGGCACATCACGGGCCTTATCTCCTGACCCCCATGCTTCAGTCTTGGGAAATAATACTGTATAACATGTTCCTTTCCAGAGGCCACAGGTGGGAACTTTGGGAAGTGGGATAATCGGAATATTGAGAACAGCCCAGAAGATGGCACAGAGTCTGAATGCCTGCATTCCACCAGTACGGAAGAGATCGAGGGCTGCCTCCTATTTTAGAAGAAATTCTGACAAGGCTGGTGATCTGGACTCTTGGCCTGTAGCTTAGGTACAGTAGATGAGACGAGAGGGAAAAAGGTGGCCTGTTCGAGGTGGACTTCGTTGACGGCACCTAGAAACTGACAGAGCGACTGACAGAGAAGGAAAAGAGGAAAGTGGCGAAACGCAGTCTGAAAGCGGGTCCGCGGCCGATGCCCAGTGGCCTCCACCCCGGGGAGTGCCTTCATCTCACAGGAGCTGAGCGCTCTACCTTGTAGGTTCTTGGTTTGATGCCATGTCTCGATGAAAAGATTC